CCTGGAACACCCTCTGCAGGTACTCGTACAGCCGCCGCCGCCACAGCTCCCGCCCCGCCTCGTCGCCCTCGGCCTCGCACGCCTGCAGCGCGTCAAGCAGCCTTACATTGGGGGCCGGGCAGGGTGGTGAAGGGCGGGGCGGAGAGGTAAAGGGCCGGATGGGCGTGCGTCAGCGGCGTTTGATGGTCTTGATGGATTTCCATGAGATGTCGACAGCAGAAGGCCGCATGCCGTTAACCCAGCAGGATCGACGCCATGTACTGGCCGAACTTACAGCGCAGACCCAGGGCCAGCCCTTTGCGGCCGCTGCCCGCACGCCGCCCCAACACTCTCATCAGCGGTCGCCGCCTTAGCCGTTGCAGCCGCAACCCCTGGACGTCCGCGCGCGCGCGCGGGCCCCGCCTGCGCGACCCCCCCGGCTCACCCTGGCACGACGTCTGCGGGTGCGACGCTGTCTAGGTGTGAGACCAGCAGGTCCAGGGCGCGCGCCTCATCAATGGCCAGCAGCAGCGCGGCCTTGCCCCCCAGGAATGAAAGGAGCCCGTGCTCCTGTGGGTTTGGGTGAATGAGTATTGTGTGTGTGTGGGGGGGGCGTGTGCTTTTATGTGTGTGCACGTGTGTGGCTGTGTGTGTGTTGTGTGTGTTGAGTGAGAAGACGGATGAGGTGCAGGATGATGGGGGCGCTTCTATGGTGGAGGCGCGGGCGGCACACACACAGGTGGAGGCTCTCGCTCTGTCCGAGGGTGGGGGTGCTGTGGTGGGTTTGGTTGCACGTTTGCCTGTGAGGGCGAGGGCCGCGCGCCACGGCGCCCTGCCAGCCAACGGCGCTCAGAGGGCCCCGCCGCAGCGCGGGGAGATATCGACCAAGCACACACAACCTGCGTCCAAAAACCTCAAAAAGAGGGCCTTGGCAGAGCTTCTCCTTCCGACGCCCTGCTGCCTCCCGACGAGCCCCCTCCAAGCCCGCCCCGTATCCGCCCAGCTCCCTCAGGCAACTGCATCCCAGCTGCCGCGCAGCTGCCCCCCCCTGCTCCCGCTCCCCATAAAAACGTGCCGCACCTGCAGGAAGTCGAACACGGATGGCAGCTGCAGGTTGAGGAGGATGGCCAGTGACAGGTCGGGGCGGCCCTGGGTCTTGTACAAGTGGGCAAGAGCCTGGGGGGCGAGAGAAGCGGGAGCGGCGGGGCAGGCACAAGGGCCTATCGTTGGAAGGGCGACTGATATGTGGGTCAGGGTGTCGGTCAACCGATGACGCGTTTGGCACGCCGTCAGTTGACCGGGCGATGGCGACGCGGTTGGTCGGTAGACCAGGTGTTTGGCAGGGCAGCAGAGCAGGCGTCCCGCGGGGCTGTCAAGAGGAGGGGCTCCCTAGGGTGATGCGGAGGCGTGAGAACGCCGCCTTGCGGGTCGACGATACGGGGTGCGACACAACCCTTTACACACATCACACAAAGAACATGCACCCGCCCACAAACACACACGCAAGCCACCCACACACACACGCCACCCACACACACACGCGTGCGACTAAGTACGTAGAGCCCACCTGCCACAGCTCCCGCGTCTCTCCCCCCGCCCGCCGCATGCGCTGCGCGATCGCGTCTATCAGCGCCGCCGGCTGGTACAGGCTGTTGGGCCACGCCTGCACCAGCCCCAGCAGCGCCCCGTGGTGGGCCGGGTCCACCAGCAGCGCCGCCATCACCAGCTCGTACGTCTGGGGGTGCAGCGCCGGCCGCTTGGTCGGCAGCACGGGCGCCAGCAGCGGCAGCTGGCGCGCCTGACGGGGTGCGGGGCAGGGGCCCAGGAGGGACGGGGAATGTGGATGGTGGGTTTGGGTGTGAGGAATAGCGTTGCTTTATTGAGCTTTAGCATGGGATCTTCATCTGATTCGAAGGGAGCATGCCTGCTACTTTTGTTTGGCAGTCGCAACAACACTGGAAAACGTTGCTGTGGGGTTGAAGGTCTTGGGGATGGGCGCAAAAAGGGTGGCGGGCGCCCCAACAAGGAAGTCAAGGGGGCACAGGGAAGCTACCAAGGGATGCGACGACCCCCAAGGCTGCCCTCAGACGCATGTTCGCCCCTCCAGCCTCCCGCGACCGCGCCCCTCCGCCGCCGCCCCGCGCCCCACCTGCCCGAATTCGTAGACCCATCTCTCCCAGAGGGCCACCTTGTCCTTGAGCAGCCGCGGCAGCAGGCCCGCGGCGGTGGCCCAGTCGCCGGCGGCGGTCACGTGTGCTAGATAGGCCTGCGTGCGTGTGTGCGGTTGCGCGTGTGCATCATGTATGAGTTTTGCGCGCGCACGCGCGTGTCTTTGCACAGACATGCATGCATGCACACACTCACACATCATACCAAGCGTCCACAGCACCTGCCCCAGAACACGCACGCGCACACATGTGCGAGCACACACACACACACACACACACACATGACACACACATGACACACAAAGCAGACCCGCCCACCTGCACGACGGCGTCCCACACTGAGGCGGGCAGCCCCCTCTCCCTCTCTGCCAGGGCCAGGGCGTCCTCAAACCTCATGTGCTCCAGCCGCCAGCTGATGCGGTCCTCGGCGTCACGGTAGCGCCCGATGACGATGTCCTGGCGGTTGAGGGCGGTTGGGGGCGGTTGGGGGGAATGCGCTTGGTAGCTTGGCCGCGGACGGCGGGACAGGAGCAAGGGCCACAGCGGCTTGGCAGTGGGTTCAGCGCGGCGGCTTTGCCCCGTGCCACCCCCTCCGCCCCCAGCTCCCTCGCCCCAACGCCTGGCGCGCAGGGCGGGCGCCCCGGGCGCCCCGCTGACCCCACCCCAAGCGGGCTTCTTGCCGCCGTTGATGAATGCGCGGCGCCTGGCTGCCCTGCCCTGCTCAAGAGCCGTGCGGCACCGACTCGCACGACGGCCCCTGCAGCAGGGGCCGTTTCCATTCAGAGCAGTCCGTGCGAGACACGGCCAGCCAGATCACAAAATCCGACGTTAGCCAACCTTGGGGGACACAATGAAGTACAT